GGGTTGTGCGGCCAGCCGCACGCACGGAAAATATCGATGTGCGTTTGGCCATGCGATCCTGCCTCGGGAGGCAAACAAACAAAGCGAGGGGCTTCCAACATAAACAGGGGGTTGTGTGTCTCTGTGTGTGTGTTTTCTTCTTCTTCTTTTTTTTTTGTTTAGGAGGTGGTGGAGGGGAGGGGGGAACTTGCCCATGCTGCGGCCCCCTTCCCCCTTTTCGGCTAAAGCAAATTAAGCACAGGATCGATAAAAGGAGGGAGGGGGAAATCAAATAAAAGTCACGCCGGCGGTGCTACTACGGCTGAGAGACAAATAAAATAGAAACAAAATAGAAGCGAAAACCGTCACCCGGCTGCTTTGGTCTTTTAAACCACTTGCGCAGGAGCAAGGGAGTCGATGTGCATGTGTTGGGTGTGCATCTGGGAGCAGATGCTTCAGGAGCTTTCCTTGCCTCTTCCCTTTCTTTCAAAAAGAAGCAAAAACAACAAAAAAAAACAAAAAAAAAGAAACCCCACCCTGCCATTGTTATTTGGAAACCGGATTCTTACATGGCAGGAATAAAAAAGCATACAGAGCGCACACACACACACACACACAGAGCAAACAAGTCCACTTCCCCTCCCCCTCCAGTAAATACATGTCTGGCCCCTGCTTTGGTTTGTTTTGTAGTGGCTGAAAAATAATCATTATAGGGCCAGTAAGTAACCAATAAATAAGGCTTAAAAAAAATAAAACGCGACATAACATTTGCAGTATTAACCTTCCGGCACTTAATCTTGCGTTTAGATTCTGATCAGCTCTGTGCTCTGAGGAGAAGAAACCAAAAATGTAGGAATTTGTTTGATTTGCCTGGGCTTTTTTTTTTTTTTTCGGAGGCGAACTAAATTCTCCCAGCGACATTCCTGTGACTCCTCGCGGCATTAAATCCCGCATCAGGCACAGGCACGCTCAGAAGTGGGACTTGCGTCCGGGAGAGATTTTTGCAACGATGGATAGATAGACAGATAGATGGAAAAGGCATCACTGTCAGCAATCTAAGGCTGTTTAAATATTTCTCTATCGCCGCCACTAAACAGTTAAAACCGTTTCAAAGCCTGTCCCGAAAGTGGGTGAAATGTGCCAATACCGTTCATTGCTCTTTGAACAAGGCAAGGATTTAATTTGTGGAGAAGTGGGGTTCCTTCTCACCCGAAATGAGCACTAGAAGATATACTGAATATTAATGTAGACCTCCACCTCTGATGCCAATAGCCCTTTCCTCTTCACCACGCCGTCACTTGCTCCTGTCTTTGCAGGCAGGAGTGTCTGCTCCCCATATACTCTCTTCCCAGGCTGCAGCTTTCGAGCATATGCTGTCCTTGTCCTGACCCCCCAGGCTCCCAGGGACCGGCCGCGAACAAATTCTATTTTTCCTTCCCTGAAAGGTTTCAGAGGCGGAGGTCTGAGAGGTGCCCTGAGCGACTGCTGGGGATTTAGAGAGCCCAACTTGGAGAAGAAAGCTTGGTCTTCTATATCGGCTGCCTCCAGATAAGTGAAAAATTCTACGTGCAATTAGCCACTTGAATGCACTTTTTTTTTCTTCCCCCGACAGAAATTTTTTTTAAGTAGTTACTGCAGCTGAGATTAGAAAGGAGCTCAAAATGCCCAGGGAAAATTCTCAGTTAAAAATACGTTAATAATAATAATAATAATAAAATGGGAGAGAGAGAGAGAGCGAAGGAAATGTTAATACAAATACTTACCCCCCCCATCTTTTCCCTTCGTCTTTCTTTCCTTCTTTCCTTCTTTTCTTTTCTCTTTATTTCTTTTCCTCCTCCTTCCTTCTTTCTTTCTTTCCTTCCCTCCTCCTTTCTCCTTTCCTTCTTTCCTTGCCTCTTTGCCTTCTCTCTCTTTCTCTCTCTCTCTTTCTCTCTTTCTCTTTCTGTCTGTCTGTCTGTCTGTCTCTCTCTCTCTCTCTTTCCCGTCACGCCGCCGCCCGCTCGCTCTGCGGCGCCGGCATCGGGACACTTTGGGGGGAATCGGTTAATTCCCGGCGCAGACCCCGCGGGCTGGACGCTCTTGGCTATTCTTTGAGGGCTCCAGCCCTACTCTCTCTGCAGGAAACAGAGGAGCTGATCCAAGTTCAAAGTCACGTCGCCGTCCCTCCTAAGAAGTGCTTTATTTCTCTGCAAACCGCAAAACCCCTTTCCCCCATGTCACAGGGTAAAAAGGGAAAGGGAGAGAGAGAGAGAGGGAGGGAGGGAGAGAGGCAGCGAGCGAGCCAGCCCCGCACTCGCTCGCAGGGCCATCGCCAGAAACTGCATCTTCAGCTCATTGCATCTTTAGGAGGAGGAAAGCGCTCACCCGAAGTCTCTGCTAAACTGTTTTACTGAAATAAGTTTTTCAACAGGTTTCTGGAGGTGCCAGACCTGCAGAGCAAACGTCAGCCTTCCTGAGAAAAACATTCCCCTCTCTGTAAGTTTTCCGAAATTTTCTTTAAAACTACTCTGCTCTTGCTCGTACGGGCTGCTAATAAGGAGGGAGCCGGAGTGGGGCGCGGGGTGGGGGGAGAGCAAGAGTAACCTCTTGGGTGCTTCCCCCCCTCGCCGTGGGCTCTCTGTCCTCTCTATACCGCCTTCGCCTTCCAGCATCTTTCCCTGGTAGGTGTCAGCGTCCCGGGCGAGCAGCTGCCGGGCTGCTCCGCGTCCCTGGG